GAGAAATAAAATCAGTTGGTTTTCAAACCAAGTCTGTCAGAGCAAGCATTTCTACCTGACGTCTCCCATCAAGCTAAAAAATTCTGGTTGCTCAGTAACCAGGTTAGCGTTACCTACCTTCTTCAAAAGCTGGATGCAACCATTGCTGATAAGATCTAATACGCGCTAACGGTTCTTTTAATTCCCAACACAATCCTCTGATCCCCAGTGAAAGTCTTCCGTTGACTCAGTGGACAAATACGGGGAACCAAATAAAGCGAATCAGCATCTTTGTGGTAACAACCAGTGGTCTCCGCCTCTCGGCATCTGTGATTGGTGGAGAAAAACGATGCAACTTCAGTTGCGGATCTGATAGGCTTCGGGAAGGTGTCTGTTTACTGTACAGATTCCAAGGGGCGTGGCTCAAACTGCGGTTTGGTTGACTTTGCAAAGGGAGGCGTGATGGCAAAATGACATTTCCTAGTTATCAGTGCTGGAAAATACTATAAACAAGACTTGTTTTCTTCCATAGTGCTTTTATTGATTGTCCTCTGACACCTCATTGACAGATTAAATATAACAAAATGAATAAAAGCATTATTACCTCTCTTATTTGAACCTTAAACAAAATTTAGTCAGTTACAATATCTACATTAGAGAAAGGCACAATTAACTGAAATGCCTTTTATCATATGGAATCATAGACAGGTTATGAGCAGATGGGCATCTGGACACAGACAGGTAAATGGCTTCCACGGGCCCAAACAGGACCCCCGACCTGAAGGAAACACAAAATGACTGTGTGTCATGTCTCTGTGGTTGTTTTGCATCCCTTTGTGGTTCCTTTGTGTTCTTTGGCTCTTGTGGTCATTTTATGTCTCTGTGGTAGTTTTGCATCTCTTTGTAATAAATTTTCAGTTTTTTGTAGGTGTTTTGAGTCTGTACTTTTGTAGTCAGTTTGTGTCCCTTTATGCCTTTGTTTGGGATATTTGGGCATCTTTTTAATAATTTTGTGTTTTTACTTGAGCTTTCTGACTTCCAAATAAATATTAGAAGTTCGTTCATACAGAGTGGACCCCTGGGCCTGTGTCCAGTGGGTCCATTTGGTCCACATATGGAATGATTTAATTCCTGACAGTCGGTCTTAATTCTGATATTCTCTGTTAAACGATAATAACAACCAAAATCACAAAAAACATAATTCAGCTCTCTGTTGAAATAATTCAGCTTCTTTTAAACTCGACAGCTGCTCTCCACACGTCAGCTCCTTGTCCCAGTGTGATCTCCTCTGGTAAAGACTCGAGCCCCAGCAGAGGTGGAAGGTCTTTCCGCTCCAAATGGATCTCTAAGGTTGACCTGATGCTGGAGACAGCAGGGAGTCAGGGAGGGCGTGAAGAAAACAACTGTTAGCACTGCAACCACTGTTTTCATCACAAGCATTCCTATTCACTGCCCTGCCCAGCTGCTGGTTCAATAGAGAGGACCTGTGGCTGAGGGGACACCACTTAAGCTCTTTTCCACTGACAGATGGCTGCCTAGAGGGGTCACGCTCCAGTCCTGGAAGTCAAAAGGCTCCAAATCCCAGGGGAGACCTCTGGGTGAGACCTCCACACTTTCCTCTGATTAAAGCTGTCTAAAAATGGATGCCTTTAGACTAGGCTGGAACTCTTTGAACTGACAACAGGCACACTTCTTACATTCATGAGTGTACAAAAAAATTCTTATTGCTAAAAACACCCTTTAGATTGAGGAATACATTTCAATAAAGCAAATGATTTTGGATTTTTTTTTTTTACCTTTTGGTGCATTACCCTCTAGAAAAGCTAAACCCACAAATGGTATGTACATTGACTTTGGGCCAAAACAAATGACTGGTGCTTACTCCCATTGTGGATAGTAACCCTGGTCAGGCACGGCGTTGCTCGTCTTCAGCAGCAGAATTTCATGCAGTTCCAAGGAGAAAGTGTCAACATCCGTGACCATGAGGAACATCTTCAGCCTTTTCCTCTCCTCCTCAGACAGCTTCTGCTGGAACTCTGATGGTAGTTTCTGAAACGGGTCCTGCAACATGATCATAAATTAAGTGGAATCAGAGTTGGAAAATGACCCCGGTATGTAGCCTGGCTCCAGACTTCTGAATCACTACTCATTGCACAGATTTTTTTTCAGCAACTCAAACATTGGAAATGAAATGGCAGCTCAGTCTGATCATCAGCAGAGCTGCAGTGAAGACAGAATTCCCTACAGTCAGTTTTTATTGGGGTCAAACTCTGAACACTGGCAGAGTCAGACTGCACACTTTTAAAAGATTACAGCCCAGAACATTTAACTCTCTGGGGTGTGTGGGGTCAGTCACTGGGAGCCAGCAGGGATCACAGGTGAAAACTCAAAAACAAATGTTGTTTACCCTGGGTGAAATGTCTTTCATGTGTTTTGTGAAGGGGCTTGTCTTATGCACAGGGTTATTCCTTATTAAATATATTTTTCTGCTACATCCAGTAAAGTCATGGAACATAATGATAACACTAATACTGATAATAATACTAATACAAAACTTTATTTAAAGGCACCTTTCAGGTCACTCAAGGTCACTATATACATACAAACATAAGCAGTTTTGAACTGATGAGTCTTAAGATGTGATTTAAATAAGGGCAGTCAATCGGTGTTTCAGATGGTCTCTGGAAGACAATTCCAGAGACGGGGAGGGGTACGAATAAAGGCTCTAGAGCCCAGGATAGTCAGACGAGCAGGGGGAGTGATGGGAAGACAGTGTGGAGGGTCGAAGAGTTTGATAAGAGGTGTATATATATATATATGTATGAGCTCAGCCAGTGAAGTAGTTGAAGAGAGGGAGTGACGTGCTGCATACAGTATATGGAATCTGGGTTATAATACATAATATTACTGCTCCTTACTTGCTTTCTCTTCAGCATAAGTTCAGATTTCCAGCAGGTCAGGAGCTGCCAGGTGAATATGCAGTGTTCCAGTTTGCTTTCTCCAAGACTCTGAAATGACAATGAAAGTCAAATTTAATGAATGAAGCCTGTACTTGTACATGCGCAACACACAATATACAATTTACATTTTAACCAATGATTTTTAAATACAGGCTCAAGAGTTTTAAATGATTTTTAATATGCTTTTTCTTTTGCTTTTCCACATGACAGACTCCTGAAGCCTAGGTTGTGCAACCCATCACAGTGAAAAACACAAAGTTTACACTGTGAAACATAAAGGGCGCCAAACCTTAAGGAATATTTTCATGCAGCACAAATTAGACAGGTAATTTAATTTTATTTAAATAAAAAAGTCAGTGTTACAGGATCATTGCATGATAATGCAGATTAAGAACTTAAATATCTGCACTGGTATTTTTGACAATTCACCTTGTTCACTGTCTGGACTGAAAGAGAAAATACATCCACATTTCCAAAACATTCATTGTCCCTTAAATCTTTTACATATAATATGAACAGAGAAGGTCAGAGTCAGCAGTTTAAATTTCACTCTACAACTTCCATAGAAAGAATAAGAAGAACAAAGGGATGTTGTAACAGTGTATTTCTTACAAAACGTGGTCAACATAACCATGGTGTTTGCAGAGTGCTGTTGCAGTGGGAATAGCTGTGGGCCTGGAGGTTTCTACCTTGGCTACAGTGCTGGAGATCTGTGGGCCCATGAGCAGAGAATCAGTGAGGTAGGACAACAGCTGACCCTGAGGATCCCCACCCGTCTTGCCAAGGACGCGAAGTCCAATCTCCAGCACGAACACAGCATCACAAACATCTGTGTACGAACGCAGCACAGCTCGCACGGTGCTGCTCACTGAACCCTTCAGCGGTTCCTGCAGAACAAACAGGGAAACTGTCAGCAGGCCAGTGAGAGGAGTGTGAAGGTAGGAATGTGACCTCTAACAAAGCGGCCTCACAAAATCCTACAGTGCAAACAACTGTGAAAATTCTTCGCCTGACATTAGTCCCAGATGAAGACTTCAGTACCATAAAATGCTAAAGTGTATAAGTAAGTGAGGAGTCTTACCTGACAAATCTTCCCCCTGATCTCGGATAGAACCACAGAGAAATCCTGCAGGTGTCTATTGAGGTACCTTGAGGTGTCCTGGTTTTTATCAGAGGAGACAACAGTCCTGGTTAGCAGACTGTTTGGTGTTACGTGACAGCTGCATGCAATTCTATGATTAGTTTTAGATTTTACCGCTTGGATAAGTGGTTTCCCAGCCAGGAAGCAGCGGGCCAGCTGGGTCTGGATCCCTGGCAGATCATAGCTACTGTCAGTCTCACCGCCTTTCTTCAAGGTGTAGTGGCAGTGGGCTAAAATCAAAGGTAGCAGTTCTCTTTCTGGGTGGCACAGGGTTAGCTGGGTTTCTGATACGCTCTCTAAAGGAACACTGTAGTCACTGTGGAAATGAAACAGTAGGTTTGTTCATGTTAATCATAGCTTTAACAACACAAGAGGCTGCAGCAGATAGTGTGCATGTCTGAAAAATCATCAGGACAGCTACTCTCATTCTGTCTCAATGATCACAGGTAAAACATGTTCCAAAATCAACTTGTAGTCAGAAAAAAAAGTGTTTTTGTAATTTGGCGACTACTGGAGGATGGACAGAAGGGGAGTGAGACATTCACATCACTGCAGGTGTTCACTGAGAGCGTTTGTCAGCATGTGAAAAGAGACACATTTACTTGCTCGTAATTTAAACAACTCAAACTGCTCAGAAAGACCCAGCAGCTACTGCTGTTGACTCTTGGCCGAGTGCACTGACCTGTCCTCCTGGCGGCTCACGCTCCTGGCCACTCGCACCAGGCTGTTGTGAGTCTCTGACAGGAAGTCTACCAGAGTTCGGAGACACGACCCCGGCCCGTGTCGGCATGGCGTCAGAAACTCCCCAGAGCTCTCGGTTGTCACCTCCTTCTCACACAACTTCACATCCACACCCAGGTCTGCTGCTATATATACACACACAGGCACAGGAGAAAGTAAATGAACAGATGCAGTGAAGCAAACACACATGGAAGACTCAGCTACTCAGTACACACAGGTGTGAATTTCCGACGTGGCTGTCCAGCAGCACTTTGGGGAAGAGTTACAGACTCTCGGTCAAAACTGCTTCCAGTATGTCTTTCTCACTTCGGTCTGATTTTGTTGAGCGTGAATTAATCCAATTCTGATGTTTGATTAATGAGATTCAAGGTTTCATATTTATTGTGACGGGAGTCAGAGAACTCACCAGTTATAATTAGTAATCTATGCACAGACTCAACAAAAGAACCCTACAACTGTAGATTTTTACATTCATGTTAAATGTTAATGGAGACACGCTCACAGTTGTTTGCCACCTCGACTCTGAGGCAGTTCCACACACGGATGAACAGGGCCACTCTCTCCAGCAGCGTCTTCTTCTGGTATCCTAACAAACATGATGGGAAAACTGTGTGTGTGTGTGTTCACAGTGGGTTTTTCTGTACGCCGTCATTGCCGTTGTTGTATGTTCAGTTCTAAATGAAGTGTCGGTATACCTGCTGGTATCTGCTGTAACATCTGTGCTATGGTCTGAGGCGCAGAGCCTGATGTCTGACAAAACACCCTCAGCAGGTCGGACTGTAAAGCAGCCAGCTCAGGCAGGTGATGTAACTGTCTCACACAGTGTATCTGACACACACACACACACACACACACACACACACACACAGTCAGTACAACACTACAAACTGGAATCTGGCTCTAAAAACAACATGTCACTAATGTCAGGGGTGCTACTGTAACTTTGCAGGACTTAGCATTTTAATTAACATATAACGTGTAGTAATGCAACATGCATTAGTATTCACATGCAAATAACACAAAAGCTGATTCCGAGCTGAGCGGTGGCCCTGAGACCCAAACAACAAGGACACAACATTAGGAGTGACAACAACAAGTGACCAGACTCAGTTCATCATGAGAAACTTTCTGTTTTCACAGCATGTTTCTGCCTCAGTGCCTCCAGTAAAACAAGTCATGCTTTCACTCCTGCATGCTTGTTGATCTTTAGTATGATTTCTGCAACACTACTCAGCAGATTTCAGTGAAACCTGGAGGAATGTAAAGTGTGCCTTTAAAAGTCACAGTTCATGCTTTGGATTCTAAATTCCAAAATCAAAATTTTAGGAGGATTCCTTGGTCTAATGTAGATATTTCAGAACCGACCACACACCTGCACACTGCCCTCCAGTGTGGGTTTATTTTATTTGTTTGTTTTTAACAAAGCGGTTTTGAAACACTCCTACAATCTCCAAATTTGTTGTACAAGCTCTACAGATGAGTTAAAACACATCTTTTGTTAAGGTTTTTACCAAATTTGATGATTTTGACTCAAAGATAGGGACTACTCAACATGGTCAAAACTTAGTGGTCCTCTGTCTGATCTGCTTGAACACAGTTCATCCCTGATAGAACGGCCCAGTATTCACAGCCAGTCTTGAACTCTTCTCCAATAATCTCAGCCTGTCGTCATTCAGACATTCTGAATCTAAATACAGACTTAACATTTCGAAATATTTTCTTTTACTCAGATAATCTCCCTCTCTCTGAGTGTGTTCTAGTGTTACTGTCTTATTGGACATGGACCATCAGGCCTCACTGTGCCTTAGAGCAGGACATCCTGTCAGCCCAATCATCCTCCTCCATGTCTTTGTCTGAAAAGAGATTGTCAGATCAATCGGTACCTTGGAGAGAAACATGCTCAGCAGAGGTAAACGGCTGTGTCCCTGCGCTTCTCCCAGCAACTGAGAGAATCGCTCCACTGTCATCATCTCGGGGAGCATCCAGAAGGAGGAGCGATGCGTCGGGCAGTCAGAGGGCAGAAGCAACATGTCACCAGGATCGCCAAAGAGAAGGGTCATCAGGGGGCTGCCAGCAAGGCCACCGTCATCGCTAATTCTGTCCTGAGCTTTGGCCAGATTCTTCTTCAAATCCTGAAAACAGGCAGATACAGCACAACACGTCTGTCCTTCTTATGAAAACAGCAGTCAGTCAGTGCACTGCTTTTAAAAACATTGTATTCCCTACTTGAAGCACTGGGTTGATGATGGAACGACAGACGAGCTTCTCCCACTGCTGTCGTCCTTGTCTGGAGGACAGGTCAGGTGTCGTGCTGAGGGAGCCTTGTTTAACATTCAGCAGAGTTAACGTCACATCTGTTTATTTACAGCAACAGTTTAAGTTTAAGCTGTTATGTTTAATACCTTCAGTAATGAATTTTGTGCTGGCATTGAGAATCAGATGGACTGTAACCGCTGTGTTGTCAATGTTCTGATTCAAAGTCTGGCCCAACACACTCATGTCCTTTTCAAGGTGGTTCCACAGGAAGCTGGACACATCATACGTCCTGGGGTGGATCATGTCAGCAACTCCCTACAACACACACACAAACAGGAGTATTAGTAGATGATGCCATTTTTTAAATGCCAGTTGTAGATTAAAGTGAAGTCTCACTGTGTGATTCTTTATGGCGCCCTGAAGCATGGCGAGGTGCATCAGCAGCCGCAGGATGTAGGACTGAGCAGAAGTCATCTGTCTTTCAGGGGCTTCAGACCGTTGGCTAGCCTCTCCCAGTATGTGTCCTGTTCGGGTTTGGTCTCTGACACAGAACACCAGTAAGATTCAACAAAAATCTGATTGAGAAAATAATGTTCCAGATCTGCAGTTTGAACAGGTTAATACCTTTGTTCTGTATGTCGACTAAACCCAGACACTGGGACATGTCTTTCCCCACCAACTAGAATTCCACAGTCTGGACACTTGGATGTAACCACTGGTCTGCCACACTATGAAACAATGCCAAAGCATATATTGTAATAATTCATGCTTTAAACTGTTGTTCTCAGTGCTTGATGTTGTGTAAAAACACATAGAAAAGCAAATACCTCTCCCACGACGCACGGGTGTCCTTTGGCACAGGCTAAAAATGGTGAAAAAGACATCATACACTGTTGGACTGGTCAAACAGAAGTGATGACGACAAAACAACCTAAAGCTTCATGATATAAAATACGTACTGTACATCACTACATTCTTCTCACTCAGCCACTGTCTGGCTTCGCTCGTGTGATCATCGGGCATCGTTGGCAGAAAGGAGTTCTACAGTAGTAGACAGCAGACATTAATTGGAAATGGTTTGGAGTATAAATAAGGTGCATTGTTTCGGGTTTATAGCTTTATCTGGCAATTGGTCAAATTCTGAGGCTGGTTTGTCAGCTACTGTTTCCAAGGTAAAGAATTAACTGAAATCTTTGAAGTAGCTTAGAAAATAGAAATTAAAACCTCCACAACTGCACTGGCACACACCACACAGTCGAAAGCTCCAGGACACCTGCTGTAAGGACCCTGTGCTAAGTTGATTTCCTCCAGCCTGAGTAGTACTCCGTAAGACAAGTAAACTGATGCTCATGTGTAAAATTGGTTCCTGTTTAATTAGGAGATAATGTGAAGCAAAGTGTAAATGACAAGCCAGGATAAGAAGTGTCTCACTGTGACATTCTGAGGCTGGGAGGCGATCTGGCAGAGAGGAGCCAGGAGAGCATTTCCACCAAGGAGCACTGAGCCCAGATGGACCAGCAGCTCCAGGAGGGTCTGTCTCTGGGTCGAAAGATCTTTGTGGACGCGGAGGTGCGAGCCCAGTCCACCGATCTGATTGGACAGGAGCGAAGTGCAGAACTCTCTAAACTCCCTTGGTCTGGTGTTTTTGAGGAGTTCTTCCAGTCTCGCTGTCTTCTGTATAGTCATGTCACATGGCAAAAAGAAAAAAGTCAGAAAGTGATGACTCGCATGTTAAAATCCTCTTCCGGGACTTTCCGTTGTCTGTTGACCTCAAGATTTTTCTCACCTCTGGGGAGGGTCGCATGATGCCGTCAGGAGATCTGTAACAGCAGGTGACGTGTCTGAACAGGGCCAGGGCCAGGAGGCTGATCTGAGAACCCCTCAGCTTCTACAAACAAAGTGCAAAACAACAAAGATATAAATGAGGAATAATTCACGTTCATCTAATCAAAAGTGACAAGGAAACCAACATTTCTTTTAGCAGAGAACAAATTTAGGAAAATGGGATGATCAGATTTTCTATTCACCAGGTTTCCAACACATATTTTATCACTGTTAACAGAGCAAGAACCCAGTGGATAAAGACATAGCACCCTTTACAGACCTCACTTCATTCCCAGATTTAGCCTCCATAAGCAGCATATAAGCATTTAATCAATGATATAATAACACGCTGTAATGTAGATGTGAGTAGGTGTGTTTAGTTGTCAACAACTTTAACTCCTTTGTGGGAGCCTATAACTGAATGCTGGTGCATTCAGAGATAATTAATGAATAAATTATAGTTGTAATTATATAAATTACATATTCAGAGAATAAACTGGTTGTTGATTAAAGCATTTAAAAATGTCCTTGTATCTGTTTACAGCTACATTATCCTGATATAGGATTGTTAACTTCCCTTTTTCCTTCTGCGTATACTGCTCATAAACTAAGGTATCTCCTCATCAGCCTCCCTGTTATCTCTGACCTGTAGCTCCGTCATGAAGGCGTCCGATCTGTTCTCCAACAGAACCCGGACCACAGCATCTCTCACAGCGCGGTAAGGCGTCCCACAGCAGAGGAACTGGTCCACATTGGTCGGAAACATCCTCTTTGAGAACACATAATGTTTTAATGCACAGATATCAGTTCCAGCTTTAGAAACTTTCTTTGCAATGCTTTGGTTGTGATGGTCAGTCAACAAGTACCTAAGAACATGAAGGTCTACTAAAATCCTGGTTTTAAAACAACATAACATGAGTAGAGCTGAATGAACCAAAAATCAAATGGCAGCTATTTTGATAATACATGAATCTCCCTCCTTGAACCGCCACCTTATTGTGGTGGAGGGGTTTGAGTACCCGAGTGATCCTAGGAGCTATGTTGTCGGGGGCTATATGT